TGCGCCCCAGAGGAAGAGCAGGGTGCCTGTGGCTGACGGCCACCCACAGGGCAGGTCGGTGAGAAGGAGCTGGACCCAGGCAGCCGTGGGATAGGATGAATCCTAGAAAAAACGTTTGGTTCCAGGCCAGGACGCACAGTGAGGTGAGCATGGGGATGTCCAAGAGCAGCCAGAGAGGCCCCAACTTCCCGCTGGGAGTGTGTTTCAGGTCGCATTCCAGGAGCATCACCGAGCTCCCTGACTAATACCGCCTTCATTAGCGCGATGATGGCACCAGCCTCCCTGCTTGGACCTGTGCTCCTGGCATCTGCCACCCCTGGCGCAACATACCCAGGCGCTGGGGGCCGTTTCTGGAAGGTGTGTGGGCTGGAAGCATGGAAACCGTGCTGTTGAGCCCACCGGCAGGGAGTTTCCTAGTCCTCGGCCATCAGCCCCCGAGGGGTGTGGCGCCCTGGCGTGGCTTGCGCATGCAGGTGGCTGGCCACGTGGGGGTATCTGGCTTCTTGTTGCAGACCTACAGCCAGCTGGCCCACCCGATCCAGCAGGCCAAGGCGCTGGGCCTCCAGTTCCACTCCCGCATCCTGGACATTGACAACATCGACGTGAGTGCCTTTTCCCCGGGGGCCCAGTCGACCCTGGGGTGGGGAAGGTGTTCAGCAGGGAGGGGTGAGCTCCCTGTCCCCTAAAGAGCTGCAGCATTTGGATTAAATGACCTGGAGGATCCTTTCAGTGAGAGGTTTCCATAGCTCTGCAATTGGGGCTTCTTAGGCAAGGGGTGGCCCTGGGGGTGCTGCTGCCCAGACCTAGGGCTCCCCGAGGCCCCTGAAGGCAGTGCTGCCCCTGAACTTGAACTGAGAAGGGTGGCGGCTTTGTCAGGGAGGCTCAGGCCACCAGGGGTCTGCTCCGCCACAATTTCCTCCCCGAGCAGGGCTGAAGGTGGGCCGGTGCCCACTCCCCTCTGACTGAACTGTGCGCACACAGGCCGTCCCCGTGAAGCCTCCCTGCGCCCACACAGCCTCAATCTGGGGAGCCTGTGTGGGTCGTCAGCAGCTCAGACTCCGGCTCACAATTGGGAAGCGCCCACCTGGAAGTGGGCCAGTGGGAAGGGGCAGCCCTGGGGTTTGGGCTCAGGCAGGTCCTCGGGCTCTTTCTGGGGGCTGGCCCGATATGTCGAGGTGCCGAGGGCTCCTCCTGGCCATGTCCTGGGAAGTGGGGGTCCGCACCTGGATGGGAGCAGCAGGGAAGGGTCCTGGGACTATCCTCTGAGGCCTGCTCGCCCTCTTGGTCCCCCTGCAGCTGGCCATGGGCAAGATGATGGAGCAGGGACCTGTGCTGATCATCACCTTCCAGGCCCAGCTGGTGATGGTGATAAAGAACCCCAAGGGCGAGGTGGTTGAGGGTGACCCGGTGAGTGAGCGAGGGAGAGGATGGGCAGGAACTGCTGGGTGCGCTGCCTTGCCCTGATGGCGGTTCAGTCAGGGACTGCGTGGGGATGGCAGGGCAGTGCCTTGAGAAGTCCCAGGGCCCTACGTGGGCCTGCTGGAGGTTAGAGGCAGCTGATCCGTCTGGTTTTACCAAGTCCTGAGTTACAGCCTCTGTCACAGTCTCTGCTTGGGACCCCCCAGACTTGGGCCAATAACCCAGCACCCCTCATCTCCAGCCCCTCCCAGCATCTCCCCAGTGTCCTGAATCTGCCCTGCCCCTCGACAGTCCCTCGTCCCAGTGTGGGTGCCGAGCCCACTGTCTGCCTCCAGCCCTCACCAATTCCTGGTTCTGCAGGACAAGGTCCTGCGGATGTTGTACGTGTGGGCACTCTGCCGAGACCAGGGCGAGCTCAACCCCTACGCAGCCTGGCGGCTCTTGGACATCTCTGCCTCCAGCACAGAGCAGGTCCTCTGAGCACGGTGGCCATTGACCAGGGGCTCTGGGGCTGAATCGTCACTGCAGACACGCAACAGACTGGTGTCCACCTGCAGCAGCTAGACCACTAGGCCCAGGACTGTCGGCTCTGCCCCCACTCTGCCAGGATGGCTGCAAAGCTAGCTGGATGGAGCAGGGTGGGGAGGGGGCTACAGCGCCAGCCCCTGCACCGCCCTCTGCCCCATGGGGGCTGCTGACCGGTGGGCCACAGAGCCACACAAACCAGACAGTGCCAAGGGGTCCCTAGCCCAGGGACTGCCTCCCAGGACAGAGTGGTGGGGCCTGGGCCCACTGGCCACAGCAGCCAGGCTGTTTTAGCTCCTTTTTTTTTTTTTTTAAAAGAGTGCCCTTATTATCCTGTACATACGCTGGAGACTTGGAAATAATAAAACACCAGAGTGCAGGAGAGCAGCTTGGGTAGTCAACACATGGTGTCTGTCACTGGTGTTGGGGGAGATGGGACTGAAGAGGGCTGGGGGGCGCCGGCGGTCATGGTCACTGAAGGAACTGCAGCAGAAGAGAGGGCAACCTTACCTTATCCTGGATGTGTGTGGAGGGGGTGGGGGAGACGGTATGAGATAAGCTAAGGAGGCCTTCAGTGACCTGCTGCGGTCTCCTGAGGGTTGGGGTCCCCGGAGCTGGAGGCTCCTGAATGCTTGATGTGTTCCGGAGGCATTAGGATCCCCCAAACAGGGAGTTTGGGTGAGGGGTCAATCGCAGAGAATGGGGGTGTGGGAGCTGAAGTCGGGCTGGGGATTTCTGGGGTGCTGGTGGGGAGGGCGAGGTTCTGGGTGTTGATAGCTCCTTGGACCCGGGGGTCTCTCCAGCGTCTTGGGGCCGGGGCTCGTTCTCCCGGAGGGCGGGGCAGGGTCGCGAGCCCGCGCGCCGCTCCCTGCGCAGCCTCCGCCCCCCGCGGCGGCCCCGCCCCCGTCGCCATGGGAACAGCCGCGGCGGCCCGGCTAGAGCGCGGCTCGCCTTCCTCGGTCTCCGTCGCTCCAGGGGCGGGTGAGGTGGGCTGAACTCAGGCCGCCGCCGCCGCCGCCGCTGCCGGGAAGAGGCCGAGAGCGGAGCCCAAGCGGGTCCCGGAGGAGAGCGCGGCTGCAGGGCGCTCTGTCCCTGTCCCGGTCGAGGCCAGGGTGAGGGGCGCGGCGGGGCGAGGGGGGTGGGGGAGGGGGTCCACGGGACGCAAGAACAAAGAGAGGGGGGCGGGAGAACCGGGTCTCGCCCCCGCCACGCCGCCCGGGCCGCGCGTTCGCACCTGTTGTGCGCGGGCCGGCCGGGTCGGGGCTCCCTCTCCCTGCTCTTAGCGTCCCCACCTGCGTGCACGCCCGGAGTTGGGTGCCCGCGGGCCGGGCTTGGGCGTAGCCCGGGGACGGAGGCGCAGGCGGCGGCTGGGGCTCGGCAAGGTAAGGGGGCGGCGACGACAGGGCTACGCGGGGGCACGAGAGGGCGCAGCCTCATCCCCGCGTCCCGGGCGGGTCCCCTCCTCCGCAGGGCGCGCGGCGATGTGAGCCATGAGCGCGACGTGGACGCTGTCCCCTGAGCCGCTGCCGCCGTCGACGGGGCCCCCGGTGGGCGCAGGCCTGGACGCGGAGCAGCGCACCGTGTTTGCCTTCGTGCTCTGCCTGCTCGTGGTGCTGGTGCTGCTGATGGTGCGCTGCGTGCGCATCCTGCTCGACCCCTACAGCCGCATGCCCGCCTCGTCCTGGACCGACCACAAGGAGGCGCTCGAGCGCGGGCAGTTCGACTATGCGCTGGTCTGAGCTGTGCGGCGCCCCCGGCCGGCCCACCGCGGGGTCTCTCCCAGCGCTGATAAGACGGGGCGCCGCCAGGCCTGGACCGCGTTCAGGATCCTGACCCCGAGCCCGCAGCCCAAGGCGGGAGGGCGTTAGAAGACCAACCCCTCCCCGCTC